GAGCCCCGCCCCTCCAGCCCCGCGCTCACGCTGCAGGCAATCTGCGTTGAGCAGGTCCTGGCACTTCTCGTGGCACTTGACGCCGCACTCCGTGCAGCGCATGCCCTGCCGCGCGATGCCCCACAGCAGCCCCTCGCACTCGTAGCAGTAGGTGGGCGTGGTGGCCGTCCACACCTCGAAGTTGTGCGGCGTCGTGCAGGAGATGGGGTAGATTAAGGCTTGCAGGGTCTTCTTGTAAACGTGGTTTTTCTGAGCGGAGAGAGAGGGGCGGCATGGGGCGCTGTCCCGCGCCACCCTCACCCCCTCGCTGAGTGTAGTAAAGTCCCCGTCCCTCCCCCTGCCCCCACACCGTCGGAATCCACGGTTCCGGGGCACAGATCATGTCGGCCGGCCGGACGCAGCGCAACCAGATCGTGGGGAGGGAGGAGTGCCCGTCCCTGCCACGCTCTCCTCCTCTTCCTCCCCGGAGCCCCCAGCCCACCCCCCGTGGAAGGGGAGGCGCCCCACGCACCAGCTCCTCGTTGTTCAAAGTGCTGGAGGCCAAGGCGGAGGTGATGCCCGCTTTTCTGGACTGGACCAGGGACTGGGGCAGGGAAATCACCAAGGGAGTCACCGGGGTCGATTCACACCCGTAGGGTTGTCACCACGAGCAGAATCCACAGCCATGGTTGGGGCCGCCAGCGACGGATTGCAGCCACGGCCACAAATAGCAGCAGGAGGAGGGCCAGTGAAGAATTGGAAAGTGACAGAGGCTCTGGGTTAGAAGGGACCCTGGAAGGTGAGCAGCCTCACACCCCTGACTCACCCATCCCCCCACCACCAGGAACCAGACTCAGGAACTGCATTTGGCCACGATCAGCAGCCACAGAGCAAAACTACCAGCCACTCCAGGAACCAAGATCGGGAGTCACCTGCTCTCTTCCCCACCCAGAAACTGTAGGACAGGGCAGGGTCCCCTCACCCCGGAACCCATGCATTGGGGGCCATTTGGAAGATCCTAATGGGGGGGGAGGGGGTCTGAGGAAGAGATTGGGGCCCAGGTCACTACCACTCACCATGGCCTGAAGTGTCCATGCAGCAGGCAGGGTAGAAATCAGATTACATTAGTCCCAGGGAACACCTTGCCAGCCCCCAGCCCCAGGTCTGCCATGGGCAGTTGTACAGGTTGAGCACTGCTTATGGCAGGCCTGCTCTGCTGGGGGAGGAGAGGGCACAGGCGCTCACCAGGTCGCTCACGAGTGGAATGGGCTTCCTCTTGCGGATGTCCGGCATGCTGTCAATGATGATGAGGCCACCGCCAGGGCTGTAAGACACACACGGGGATGTCAAGGGCCCAGGCGTCTCCCTGTCTCCAACAGACATCACTGGAGGCCTGGGCAGGACACTTGATCACCCCGGGGGCTATTAAAGGTTGAATGGTGTCTCCCAAAAAGATACATTTAAATCCTAGCCCCTAGTACCTCAGAAGGTGGCCTTATTTGGAATATCTGGGTCATTGCAGATATAGTTAGTTAAGATGAGCTCACGCTAGACTGGGTGGGCCCCTAATCCAATATAACTGGTGTCTTTATAGAAAGAGAGACAGCAGTGTGACAACAGAGATCAGAGCGACACATTTACAAACCAAGGAATACTGAGGATTGCCGGCAACTACCAGCAGCTGGCAAGGCAGGGAAGGAGTCTCCCCTACAGGTGACAGTGACAGAGGGAGCGTGGCTCAGCCAACAACTTGACTTTGGAATCCTGGCCTCCAGAACTGTAAAAAGACTATTCTCCTGTTGGTTTAAGCTGCCCATTCGGTAGTGTGTTACGGCAGCCCCAGGAAATGAAGACGACTCCGGGCCTCAACTTCCTCACCTGGGAAATGGGGAGATGATGCTGTTGCCCAATTTGAATGGAAGTTTGAATGGAAGTTTGAATGGAAGTTTGAATAAACTAAGACATTCACGAGACACTACCTAATTGAAATAGGTATTTCAAAATTGAAAATACCTATGTATATTTAAAGTCAATCCTGGAAGGAGTGATTTCGAAGCTGATGGCTACGCAGCTTTGGCGTAGCTGGTGGGTCAGAATGAGCTACTTTGTGGGAGATGCTACCGTGGCCTTTACGGATTCACCTTACTGGGAGGGGCCCACATCCCAAAGAGGGTTCAGGCGTGGCTCTTCTCCAGAAGGTTCCCACTGGCCAGGGAGAGAGATGCCTGGCAGCCAGTGACTCTGGACAAGCCCCGGGGTGCCATCCATGTTCCAGTGCTGCCTGGAGGATCAGGCAGAGGCCTGGTGACTCCCGAAATACACCTGGGCTTGGCTCAGGGGGCTTGGCTCCCCAGCCTGACCCCCGCCCGCGTCTCTCGAGGGCATGTCCTCCATAGATCACGTGTTCATCCCCGTGTCAGTCCCAGCTTCCGGGGCTCCCCCCAAGGACACCGGCTCATCTGGGAGTCACAGCGTCCGTCTCCGCGCCTCTGTTTGCAAAGGACGTACAAGGAGAGGCAGTCACCCTTCCCGCTGCTACTTGAAAACATTAGTGCACTTTAAAAGTATCTTTTAGGGGCGCCCGGGTGGCTCCGTCGGTTAAGCCTCCGACTTCGGCTCAGGTCACGATCTCGCCGTGCGTGGGTTCGAGCCCCGCGTCCGGCTCTGTGCCGACATCTCGGAGCCCGGAGCCTGCTTCCGATTCTGTGTCTCCTTCTCTCTCTGCCCCTCCCCCACTTGTGCTCTGTCTCTCTCTGTCTATCAAAAATAAATAAACGCAGAAAAAGTATCTTTCAGGGGCACCTGAGTGGCTCCGTCGGTTAAGCACCGGACCCTTGATTTCAGCTCAGGTCATGATCTCACGGCTTCTGGAGCTCAAGCCCCGCGTTGGGCTCTGCGCTGACAGCGCGGAGCCTGCTTGCGACTCTCTCTCCCCTCTCTCTCCGCCCCTCCCCGCTTGCGCGCTCTCTCGCTCTCAAAATAAATACAACCACAGATAAAAAGTAAGTGTTTAAGAATATCTTTGACATCTTCTAACCTCTCCACTCAGGCGCTGAAGGAAGAAAAGCCCGCGTAAGCGCTTAGATAGGACAAAAGGCTCCACGGACGCCCAAATAACTGTCATTAAAGAAAGGGTCACCATTAAAGAAAGAGCCAGCGACCGTAGCCATAATCTGGGATGTTTAAAAACGGAATCAGATCAACACCTTCACCCCGGGATTGCAGAGGGACGCTGCAGGACACAGGCTTCTCCTCTCTCTTATACTTATTTCTCTAGGAGGAAGTGATCTTGGATAACGCGAGCGTCTGGGGCAAGGCACGTACCTCTCTGGACTCAGTTTCCCCACCTGGAAAATAGGGGTAGCGGTCCTCCCGTGGGTGTGTTGTGGGGATTCAATGTGCGACTCTCTCTGGCTTCTGTCCGGGGTGAATGCTTATGCTAGTGGCTACGTTATTTCACCCGATCTGTCACTCAAGCTGTCCCCTGTCTCCATGGAACGGCTGGCTATCCTCCCTGGGCTGACGCTATGGTGTAAGCAGTCTCGAGCTCTGGATTCAAAGCTTCCTGCTTCCCCCACGACTCCGTTACTCACCCGCCTTTGAACCACAGGGATTTGGACATCTCTCCTTCTCCTCGGGCCTGCGTGACAGACAGACAGACAGACACGGTCAGTGTGGCAGCCTCTCCCCAGAGCAAGGTAGGTTCCACACCCGCTTTTGTCTCCTCTTTGGGCCGGGAGTCAGGAGGCCCGGGTCCTAGTCCTCACTGTGTGTCCTTAAGCTCTCTCTGGGCCTCAGTTTGCCCAATCTGTAAAATGGGGAGAGAAGAGCTCCTCTCTACCACCCACCTCAGTAGGACTCGGTCTCCTTGTCCGTCAAACGTGGGGACGTGTTAGCATCATCTCCAACAAGAGCCCGTGCACTATAGTCCTGGGCTTCTCGGGGGTTGGTTTAAACACTCGTAAGATTCTGTCATTCTCTAAACTTCTCCCGGCCTCACCTGCTCATCTGGTCTTGTGCCCCAGGGCCTTTGCTTGAGCTGCGCCACTTGCTCGTACGCCCTCCCACCTACTGCTCCCGATCAGCCTCCATTGATCCTTTTTTTTTTTTTTAAATATATGAAATTTATTGTCTCCATTGATCCTTCAGATCTCATTGTAGACCCAGAGCTGACACCCTTACCTCCTATGCAACTAAAGGGTGGCATGGTGGGAGAAGGGTGGGGAGGGTCCAGCACTCCCCTGAAATATCGTTGAAGCATTTTGGATATCACTTCTCCTTAAGTGTCACCTCCTCCAGGGAGTTTTCCTGATTACCTTGGATTTGTTTTACGCCCCTTCTACGAGACCCACAGAGCCTGCCCACGTTTATTTGGTTTTTGCCATATTACGAGTTCCACCAAAGAGTCGCTGTTGTTTTTTATTTTTCATTCAAATTGCTGACGTAGCGAAAGTTATTCTATAGACCTGACACTGCATATTCTTTTCTACCCTTTGCATTTAGAACCATGCGAATGGATTACTTAGTCAAAAATTTTTTTTTCAATTTTAAAACATAAGACATTCGATTGGAAACGTCTGTGGCTCTGACATTTGACGGTCTAAGACCTTGAGAGTCTGTTTAGGATATCCTACTGCCAGCGTCACCCCCTGGATAATGGTCCCCCTGGATAATGACACTGCTCTGTCCCCAGCCTAGGGTGGCTTGAGCAATTGAAGAGAGAAATGAGGGGCCTCAATCCTGCTGCGTGACCCTAACGCTAATACTTTCGCCTAATTCCTTCTCTGATACTGACCAGACCTGAGACCTTTCCCCAACCCTGACTCTGGTACCCAGTGTGATCCCAGGCACTGATTCCTTTCCCTAACCCCAGTGTTAACCCAGACCTCTGATCTCTGACTGCTGCCCTCGCTCTGACCTCTCTCCCTCTCCCTCACCTCTATCCCTATCCATGAGCTTG